ACATTACAGTGGGAGCCATACAGTTCTCTGGACAGATGCTGTTCCAGAGGTCAACTCCCACAACAGAGAAGATATACTTGCTAGGACTCAAAAGATGACACTGACTGAAAGGGCCTGGAACCCATCCAGTATGCCTCATCTTACCAGATGGGCAGAAATTACAGAAGATAAGCAAGACCCCAAATAACCATGCTCAGTGCCATGAACGGTTTTATAAGGTGGTATGTAACACTTTGTATTGTCCCTGAGAGTCCACTGGCAACTGCATTGGTTGCTGAGTAGTGGCATTATATAGAAATGATCCATGAAAATGCTTTCTTGGCCATAGCTGATACCTGATTTTTGAGCAGGGCCTGTGAGTCCAAGACAACCACCAAGTTGCACACCAGGGGCTGATGGACATTATTGTTATAGTTTCCTAGTGCAAATTGTTCTTGAGAAAGTCAGATATTGCCAATCATGACTTCTCATAAGCAGAATCAGATATGGTACTTGTAATAATATCATGCATCCATAAATAAGATTCATTCCTGCCTATGTAATTGTCAGCCCCACTAAGCAGATCAGATGAAGAAATCAACTCTACAGGAAGGCTAAACGTATGTTTGTTCATTTATTTTTTTCAGAAGTCACAAAATGTGGAATTCACTAAATGTTCCAGTAACTAATTTGTTAGTTGTGCTAATGCTTAAGACTATGAGCTTGGACACCTGCTCTTCAGAGCCATCCGCTCTTGGTTAACTAAAGCTGCCCAGGGGATGTCATATAGGTGGGTCCTGGTCCTGGTAGCGAATTCCTCCATTCCTTAAGGAAGCGTTAGTTTGCCCCCTTATTAAGAAACCATCACTGGAGCCCATAAAACTGGACAATTTTCACCCAGTATCTAGAATGCTTTTTTTTTAATTTTTAATTTTAATGATGTATTTTTGTTGTGCATTGGCCAGAATCATATGTTGTGAGATGGGCAGCTACATAAATGTATTATATACCTATATAGCAATAGCATTTAGACTAATATACCATCCCATGGTGCTTTCCACCTGGCACTTTCTGGGTGGTTTAGAATGTAGAAGCATTATTTGCATATTGCCCCCAATAATCTGGGTCCTCATTTTACCGACCTTGGAAGAATGGAAAGCTGAGCCCCATCAGGATCAAACTCCAGACTATAGGCAGAGTTTGCCTGTAATACTGCACTTAACCACTGTGCAACTGAGGCTCTAAATATAAATAAATAAATCTTCCTCAAGATAATGTTCTTTACCATTCCACTGAGTTCTTCAGAGCCAGAGAAAATGTTCTCCCCCAGTGAAGCATTGACTATTTTCTAGTCTCAGTTCCTCACATTCATCACAGCAACTTGAAGGAGCTAAAAGATACATAGTTCAAGCCTGCAGATGACAGCAATCATACTAGGGAACACTCTCCTTCATCAAAATCAGAGGTACTGTGCTTCAGTAGCTCATTCCTTTAATATGCAGGACCAACTGATGGGGAGAAGGGGATGGTTTACTGTGTTCTTACTTGTAGAGGCCTATAGGATTCATTTCTATGTAAAAGCATTGGAAGAAGTCATCCATTAGTTAAGGTGATGTGCCACTAATATTCTAAAATGCTGAGTTGTGCATTCCACCCAGAGTTCTGACAATGATGTTGTAGAACTCTTTTGGTTTGGTATTTTGTTGATGTATGGAGAGGATGAACCAACCTAAGAAGAACCTCAGAAAGATGAAATGCTTGTTTCTACAGCATGGATCTCTTTCTGCTCTGGTGATACCTATGGTTGAAGTGCCATTCCCCTTGAAAGAGCAAGGGTTGGGGTTCTCCTATTCACGGTTCTTAGACAGCAGGTGGAATTTGTGGCTGATGGTCACTCTTGCTTCATTCTGGCTCCTTATTGCTTTTTATGCTAATTTCATTTTATTTAGCTATATTATTTTGATTTTATTGTCTTTGGTTATTGTTTTATGTCTTCTATATAATGCACTGCAGGGAATAATTTGAAGTTTGGTGGTCTAAAAATTCAGACAGATAGTAACTGAGTCATTTGTGGAGCAATGTCTTCTCTACAACCCAGCTCAGCTTTAGAAAAGTGCAAACTATTGTATGTTTTAATTAAGAATATGTAAATCAGGCTGCCTGAAAATTCTCATTGTAATTTCAACATATCTCTATTTTGCTGGCTTAGGAATGGGTGGTTAAGAGAGCCATCCAAAGACACAAGATAAGAGTTGTGAAGGTCATTGCAAGTCTCCTTTGGATTTTGAACTTTACTCTAAGAGGTTCAATAACAAAGCATTTTTAACTTTATTCATATCAGAAGAGGCAGAATAGTTTGCAATCTGAGGAACCAGGAAAATAAAATAGCTCTCCCAAATTTAGCTAATCCATAATATGAGGTAGAAATGTACATTGTCTATTGATTTTTCCATCAATCTATAAATTACAAAGAGAGACAGGGCACTGTCAGATACTAAGCACTCCCTTCCATCTATTCCAGCATTAAAAAAAAATCAAAATAAGCACTGCTGCAATCTCCACTCTTGAATTTTCTGATGTAGACTCTTCATGGTATAATATAAATAATCAGCTCTAAAATTACTTATTCACTTTAACTACTTTTCTTGGAATGGCATTCCTTTTTTCACACCTTGCCCTCAAGGGATACATATCCCCAAAGCATGTCATTGCTGTACACCACATCTGGGGTTTTTTTCTGAAAACAGAAATATAAGAGAAGCTTTCATCTCTAAAAAAACAAAAAAAGGCCTCCAGAATCAAAGATCTCAGATGAAGCATGTTTTTCATCAAAATACCATCTAATTATTTCATGAAATACTGGTATAACCTGTTAGTGCCTAAGCTTCATAAGCTCATTAGCCATTGTTAGAACTGGTTTTTTTTAAAAAAAAAGTCATATCATTAGATCAAAATTATGTTGGTATAATTATATTGGTAACTGGCAAATTGGTAAAATTATATAATATAATTATATTAGCAACTGTTCTTGAATAGGAATACCTAAAATTTCCTCTCTTTTTCCTTTCTCCCCCAAAAGTGTTCCTTCTGAATTGCAGATTAAAGAGCAATAGAATTTCTGCATGTGCAGTATTATTAAACACCTAGCTTTTGAAGCTTATTCTGAAAATGTTAAGAATGCCAAAAAGAGATTAGACTATGAGTCTCTTACAAATTCATGAAGTCATATATTCTGATGCCACCATTTCAAATGAAACATTTTGGATAACAGAGGAAATGAAAACCCATTAAACAGAAAGTTTTTCTCTCCTACAAATGAAAGGAAGATTAATTGATGCGGAATTCTGCCCGTGGGTGAGGTATTTGCATCCAGTAACTTGGGGAATCGTATCCTAGGAACCTGGATGCTAGATTCGAATTTTAAAACCCAAATCTTATTCCACAGAAATCCAAACTTCATGAGACATTTTTATGAATAAAAGTATATAATTTTGTGGGATACAGTATCTTAATTTTTCCCCTCCACAATAAGTACTTGCCTTAAAATGAGGCGAAGACATTTAGAATGTCTCCTATAACTGTTTACAACTACTATAAGATAGTCAGCTTTTCCAGCCTAGCTCAAAAGCCTTGTTATTATTGGCAGTGGCATCATTCAAGGAGGATATTTCAATTGAAAAATTACTGTAGGCTTCAGGAATTATTTCATATACAATAGTCCTTTACCCTCTAATCAGGTTTGAAAAGCCTTCACAATTGATTTGACTATGCTTCATCATAAACTACTGATGATTGCCCCAAAAGAGCAGTCACAACAATCTCCTGTATAAACATTTGTGTTGGCAGGACTATTAAAAACACTTGCATTTTCTGCGCCAAGAAAATAACATAAATTCTTCTTAATATGGCTGAATCCTCACCAATATTTTCTGCCTTTTAGATGTCCCCACACCAGTGGCACACTTGTCGTAAATATTAACTTCTTACAAGGTGGCTCCAAGCCAAGGTTTGGAGGAAGCCAATCTTCTCCTAGGCCCTCGCTTTTGATTTAAAAAAAAAAAAAGCCCTGGAGATATCAACTAACTGTACATGCCCCTTAGTCTCAAATGTCTTGTTGTAAATCTAAAGTCACAGCATATGAGGAATGTTCTAGCAGTTATTATGGCAAGTGTTCAACTGAATTAAAGATGTCCTTAAGAGCCAATTTCCATAATGGGATGGTAGTTTTTGAGTTGCATAATAATCTTCTCCAAGCCAGAGCCAAAATAACATTTAAAAAGTCAAGCGTCTTAGCTTAAGGAACAAGATGTATCCACTCTATAGCAGAGGCCCCAAACCTTTTGGGCATCAGAGACCGATTCTGTGGATAAAGATATTTCCGCGGATCAGAGGGGGCGTGGTTTTGTGTGCTGCCTGCATCCAGCAGAAGGGGCTTCACTTGTTTGAGTGGCCCAATTGCTGGTATGACGCGGCCCAGTGCCNAAGCGTCTTAGCTTAAGGAACAAGATGTATCCACTCTATAGCAGAGGCCCCAAACCTTTTGGGCATCAGAGACCGATTCTGTGGATAAAGATATTTCCGCGGATCAGAGGGGGCGTGGTTTTGTGTGCTGCCTGCATCCAGCAGAAGGGGCTTCACTTGTTTGAGTGGCCCAATTGCTGGTATGACGCGGCCCAGTGCCGGTCCACGGACCAGGGGTTGGGGACCCTTGCCCTATAGCATTTTTCTTTAAGGGTGAAAACTTGTCAGGAAAGATCTGAGGTTAGAAATGTCCAGGATGCGATATGCTTTGCTAGGGAGAAAGAAAGAGGAACATACCTCTTTAAAGCACCAAGCACACTTGGGATGAACGAGCAAGCATTCTTCACAGGAGGTAGCATTGCCGCTTGAACAAACACTGAGACCTTTAAAGAAGAAAACAGAAAAGCTGAAAAAAAAACCCAAGAAAAAAAACCCCAGAGATTTTAATGCCGCTCCCCTAGAACAAGAGTAGCTTGTCCATATCATCACGTAAAAGCTTTGCTTCGCAATGGAGAAGATAAAGTTATCTTCTCCAAGGTTCACAGTGGCTAATAAAAGCAATAATAAGAAAAAAATAAAAGATATGTGACTAAAAAAAGAATGGAAACATTAAGAATACATTACAGATAGTCCTCGACTTACAACCACAATTGAGCCCAAAATTTCTGTTGCTAATTGAAACATCTGTTAAGTGAGTTTTGCCCCATTTTACAACCTGTCTTGTCACAGTTGTTAAGCGGAATGTGACCCCAGGTCACAGCAATTGTCATAAATATGGGTCAGTTGCCAAGCATCTGACCATGGGGATGCTGCAATGGTCGTAAGTGTGAACAATGATCATAAGTCACTTTTTCCAGTACCGTTGTAACTTCCGTCCCTAAATGAACTGTTGTAAGTCAAGGACTACCTGTATTTTACAAAATAAATAGCATACAATAGCCTTTTTTATCCTCCAAGAATCTATTTGAATAAAAATGCCCATAAAATAAAGATTACAGAAAAAGACAAGCTTGAACTCATTAGGCAGGACATTTCAAAGTCTAAGGACTGTAACCAGGAAGGCATTTCATAAAATCCTTAAAGCAGGGATGGAGAAAAGGAATATGAAGTCACTCCAATCTTCTTAGACAACAAACTCCTTTGGTGTCCACCAAGTTCTCTGTCCCATATGACTTCTTAAGAAATACTTTTTAAAACCAGATACAAAATAGCAAGCTGTATGCAACAAATTCTATTTATTTATCTATCTATCTATAGCAACTTATTTGGGCTCTTCAAATACCCCATTGTGTTCTTAGAGAACATGCTGGTTCACCTTCTGACAAATGGAATTTTTAATTAATTATTTCCAGCAAAACAGTCAATTTGTGCAAAGATACGACCTAATTGCAGTTATTTTGTCAGCCTGCCCATCATATACCCTTAACATTCCAAATGTATTTCTAGCCCTACAAGGAAGTCTTATCTCTGGCCTGAAGCCTTGGCAGACTGATAAAGGAGAACAGCCTTTCAAACATCTTGGTTTCAAGACACAATGTAACAGAGCATTCCAAGTCATTGTACAATCTTTTTATACTTACAATAAATTCTTATATTCACAGTGTTGTTTCTATATTGTGGGTAACATACTAGATTCTAGTAAGAAGCACTGTATTATATACACGGTCATTGCCCTTTTATTATTCTGCGTGCAAAATTAATCAAATAAATGCTCCCGTTTAAAGCATTTCCTGAATTTGAGATTACTGGTCAATGATGCCTATAACATCTTTGTTATATTGTCTCCTTGATTATCCTTCCTTCTGAGCTGCAAGCTCCTAAATCAGTCCTTAGATATGCAATATGTAGATTTAAACTGGTAGCTTTAACCACGTTGCAGCTAAAACCAAGGAGAAGTCATATTCACCAATAGCTAAAATTTGTGAAATTCTATTATTTCCATTTTGGTTATGGAATACATGGTTTTGACATAACAGCACGTTGACAAATGAGATATGAATCAAGCTGGAAGTCTCTCTCTCTCTCTCTCTCAGCAATGAGATAGTATCATTACAGATCTTGACACTTCCTAGCTCAGTGGTTCTCAACCTTTTTAATGCCTCGACCCCCAACAGGTCGTAAGTCGAGGACTAAACCGGTTGTAAGTTGAGGACTAAACCGGTCGTAAGTCGAGGACTATCTAACCGGTCGTAAGTCGAGGACTTTCCCTGCCCGGGAGCGCCGCGCATGCGTGGTTCCGCCCCCTGCGCCGGCCGAGGCGTAGCTGGCAAGCGGCAGAGACGGAGCAGGCCGACCACCAGCTGGCCCAGCCCAAGGGAGGTAAGGCACCCGCCAGAAAAGGGGAAAAAAATGGCTGACAAAAAAATGGCGGACAGCCTTGCTTGGCGACCCCCGTGAAATGGTCGATCGACCCCAAATGGGGTCGCAACCCATAGGTTGAGAACCGCTGTCCTAGCTAGACTCTGGAGATAGATATATATATTTGGTGTCTTTGAGTTAGTGTTCATTTCTGCTACCTGCCTGGATAAGCCCTGTAGGTTTTTTTTTGCAAGATTTTGGAAGTGGTTTGCCCTTGCCTGCTGTTTCCGACAACTGGAAAGAGTGACTGGGTCAAAGTCACCTGGGCTAGTTTTGTGCCTAAGGTGATACCAGAGCTCAGGGTCTTTTGGTTTCTAGCCTGGTATCTTAACCATTGCATAAAACTGGACCTTACAGGAAAGTAAACAGAGAAATAAAAGCAGGATTAACTTGCTTTCATCTGCATATTTATAACAATGATGATTACAGAAAAGAAAAAAGGCATTATGGGAAGGGAGCTACAGCTCTCACTGAATTCACACTACTGTAAACGAATCCAACAAATGATCCTGCATTCATGCTATGCAGACTAAAGAGAAAATGACCTGAGGCTGGATTATAAATGGATTTTTTTTCCCCATTCCAAAGTGTCAATGTAATAACTGCATACACTAGAGACGATCTCATTAAATCCTTCTTAAAAGATCAACAGAAGCATTAATCGGTTTTGCTCCATAATTTCTCATCAGCAACTATAACTGCAAAAAGGAAAGGGTAGCGCTGAATGGCAGGTTAGATATGGCTCAAACAGATTCTAATTTCATCTGGGTAGGAATTTCAATTTCCCTTTGTAACACTTTTGTGTTGCTGTGTTTGTGCAGCATATGCTGATCTTTGAAAATACAAAAGATGGGTGTTGTCTGCATGAATCATGCACTTTGAGAATTGAAAATTCCACACCCCACACACCATATACTGTAGTTGAAAAAAATAACAACCTGCTCCAGCAGCAGCAGTTTTGTATCAAATAGTTTAGAAAATTGTCACCTTTAAGACATGTGGACGTCAACTACCAAAATTCTGGAAGTTGAAGGTTCACACATCTTAAAATTGGCAAGGTTGGGAAACACTGCTTAAAAAAGGCAACTGGACTTTGATTTTTTTGTTTGTTTCTATTTGAAGATGTTTTGCTTCTCATCCAAGAAACTTCATTAGTTCTGGCAGGATGGTGGGAGAGATGGAAGACTCCTATAATCCCCCACCATCCTACCCAAATCAATGAAGCTTCTTGGATTAGAAGTGAAATGTCTTCAAATAAAAATAAAGAAAGTGTGCCTTTTGAAAAAGCACCTTTGAGACAATCATGACCTGGATGACTGAGAATCTCCATAGACTGCTTAAAGGCAGTGGTGGCGAACCTATGGCACGCGTGCCAGATAGTACCCAAGGACATGGCAGCCGGGCAGCGGGGACAAGACTCTGCCCTCGTGCCCCATGGTGCACAGTTGATGCTGTGGGGCGCGGGCAGAGGGCATGACCGCTATGGCGCTGCTGGGCCACCTGGGCAATCTGCAGTGGGCTGTGAAAGCGTTGACTGGCCCTGCGGGCAGGCAGGGGGCAGGAGCGGAGCGGGGCAGGTGGGACGGGGCAAAGTGGGGCAGGCAGGGGCGGGTTTTGGGCATTCGGTCTCTAAAAGGTTCGCCATCACTGGCTTAAAGGCATGTTCAATCTGTTGAACGCTGAATTCTCTAAACCATTTGGAGGTGTGGAATTTAAGATGTGTGGACTTCAACTCCCAGAATTTTGTCCATATGTCTTAAAGTTGACAAGGTTGGGAAACACTACCCTAAAGGATGATTTTTCAAAACTATGCACTGACTTGATCCTAGAGATGTGTCTACAAAGGTTTTTGGGAGGAAGAGGAAAGAGAGGGAGATATGGTATTAAAAAACATCTTGTGTGCCTACTTTTCTCTGGATAGGATGCTCCATTTTGATGGCAGCCATGGGAAGAAAGAAACAAGCAGTTCTGCTTTCTTTTTGTAAACCCAGACAAGTGATATAGCGATAAGAAAAAATAAGTCACCTGATGACTTTGGAATTTAGGACATGTGATGAAGATATGTGAATCTACAGAGAAGTCAGAAATGATTTTTCAGAAGAGAAAATACCAGACATCCATAAAAAAAAACATTTTAGGCAGTCAACCCACTTGGGCCAAATATTTCAACCGATTGTTTTCAAGCCATCTTAGCTTGCACAGATTCTTCCTTCTTTGGCCTTCTTTATGCCATTTCTATTTTGCTCAATGCTGACCATTTCTTTCTTCTGTTCTGTCTCAGAGTTCTCCCAGAGAATGCTCTTCCATCTTGTTGGACTGAGTTATTGGGAATTTCTGTCCCTACCGTAGGTTGGGTTATTTTCATAAGCAAATGAGGCCACTGTTCAACAAATCAGTTTTAAAAATCCAAGCTAAATGTTACAAAGGAATGAAGTCTGCCTTATTCTCCATGATCTCTCTCCATCCAATATGAACAAGAAGGGCAGTTGAACTCTGGGTACTATCAATTAAAGAATGTCATCTTGAAGGATCCAGGAAATGTACCTACTTTATTGCAGCATCTGATCTCTGGAATAATATTGCCCCCACCCCACCCCCAAGATATTTATAGTGCGTATCATTATATTTGAAATGTGGATTTACAGGTGGCTGTTACGTATAAGCTGGGTTGACAAGATCAGAAATGAGGTGATAAGCCGCCTGGGAAAGCCAAGGGAAATCATCAAAACAATTAAAAAATGAAAATTAGAATATTTTGGACATGTGATGCGACACCCAGAAAAATACGGCATACTCCATTTAATTTACAGACAATTGTGTCCTTTTTATTTGTAAGCCACCTAGAGTTGTCAAGCAGGCAGATGGCTCAAAATTTGAAAACAAATACAATCAAGAAACAAATGTCATCTGGGTTGTTGCAACATGATGGAAAAACTAGAAGGAGAATTTGTGCCATGTCAACATTAGCAGTAAAAGGTTAAAATAAAATGCAAAATATTATCTGCCATCACTCTGGTATCAACTC